TTAAAAAGATGAGAGAGGCCTGTAATTTTCATCATAGGTATACCTCAACTATGAGAGACAAAATGGGGGAAAAAATCCAGAAAATCACATTGTCTGATTTTTAAATAATTTATTTATTTAAATTTATTTATTTATTTATGAGTGCTAAGTCACTGGATTCACACAAAGTGGATCATCTGATTTGCTAAAGAAAATGAAATGGCTTCATTTGCCCAGTGGGTCAAATTTTAATTCTGGTTATTTTTTTATGGCTTAGATGTGTGCAGAACTAGTCTGTATAATTAGTTAATGTTCAAAGTATTATGCAAAGTCAGGAAATTGGGTTAATTCAGTGACAAAGCAGGTGTTTTATGCTTATTTCCCCAGGGAAAGATGCCTCCAGAGCTTTTGCCACAGGTGACTTCACCCCAGCTGGCCTGGTGGACGATATTTCAGGATTGTCACCACCACAAATGCTGGCCATCCAGAACTGGCTCTCCTTCTACAATAAGAATTATGTGCATATTGGTAAGTAGATGCCTTGAAACCACAGGAAGTAATCAGTCCTGTTTGGTATCTTCTGCTCCATCTTGTTAGCATTATCAGCAGAATATGGATTGGTGCAGATCATGGCAGATTTTCTATGTTGTGTGTATCCTTGGATGGATGTTCTCAATGTTCCTTGTCAATTTTCTCTTTCGTGCAGTGACTGTGGATGAGTGTGGATTAACCTTGCAGGTGTGGCCTAATAAAGTTTTCTAGCAATCTAGATTCTTCACTTTAGATTTAATTTGGGATTTAATAATCAGAAGACCATCCTGTTGAGTCTGATATGTTGGAACTACATTAGAATTGCACTGTGGACCAAGAATTATGAAAAAGATACTAAAGGTTTGTCTGTACAAACTCCCTTTCGATGATCTGGAAATAATTTCAGAACAGATCAAACGTTGCAGCATTTAACTGAGGTGATTGGGCATGGACCTTAGCGAGTATCTTGGAGGATGGAGAGGCAGAATATATGCATGGCACTTAATCACAGTTTCTTTAACCATGGTTTGTTGAATAAAGTATGGTTGGCTGAATTTGGATAGCAATGTACTTATAAACTATATTGTGGCTTAGCATAACGTGTGAACCTGCATTCCCTGCCCACTTTTGTTGTCAGAGGATAAAAATGATAGTGTTAAGATACTAACTGTTCTCTTAGATTGTAGTAAAGAATGCTGGGCAAGGCCTTATCTTCTCAAAGCTGTCCCACCCCGTTGATAAACTTATTTATAGCAGAATTTATTTATCTGAAAAAAAGTTCACAATTTTAGAATTCAGAAGAGAAAGATCATCTGTCTGAAATAAACTTTTTAGATACCTGTCTTATAAAGTGCTAAGGAAACATAATTTCTAGCTTCTAATTTGTAAGAGTCAAACAGGACAGTGGGATCTTTTGCAGAATTACTGGATTGATTCACACAACGTGTGAGCCAAAATACAGTTTTAATATTCACTTTGGCTAGTGAACTGAAACAGTTGGGGCTTATTAAATAAATGAATGAATGAACGAACCATGAATTGACAGTGTGTGAACCCAGTCACTGAACGCCTGGGCCTGACAAGTTTGAATAAACTAATCATTGGGTTCTTGGTGTTCTCTGAGCTTGGTTGTTTTCTTGCAGACGTTTCATTACCAGGCTAGGTAACATCATCAGTGCAGGGGGGAGTAAAGTTTGCTGGCTGTTTATATACAGCAGCTCGCTGTGCCAGCCAGGTTGGTAGGCCTGAATGTTCTGCCTGGGATTTTGAAGAAGATAGTTATGCCCATTGGCATCTGACCATAGCTGTGTCTGTGACATGCTGAACCAGTGGAGTCTCCTAAGGGGGAAGGGTAAATGATGAAAGCCGTAGCGCAATGGCAGCTCTAGCCCTTTGGGATGTGTGTTGTGACATCACATGCATGCCCAGAAGGGGTGGGCCTTGTAGTGCAATGACATGATGCTGCTATCATAATTTTGATGAAAACAGGAAGCTTCTGTGAACTTCCATGCACTGAACCACAAACCTTTCAGTTATATTTTAGTGTAGTGTGTGGTGAACTCAGCTGATATAATTAGATTTCTCTCTTGCTTGCCCATCACCCTATGAACAGCCAAAGTTGCAGAATTCCTATTGGGCTATGCAAGAATCTCAGATTTATTAAGAGAAGGTAGAGAATTTAAGTAATTTAGGACACTTAATGGAATTTGGATGCCTTGAGCCTATTACTTTATCAATCTGGAAGAAGCTTGTAGTCTGGAATTATTGGATCTTTTATTTTTGCTTCCATTTCAAGTTGCTTTAATATTTCAGCAAGAAACAGGATTTGATGTGAAATAGTAGAAAGTAAACTTGACAAATGCACCCAAGTTGTCTACTTCTAACAAGAAAAAAATAGGAAACGGTAGAGAACGCAAAGCTTACACTATTAGGCTGAGACCATTTTTCCTATTGAAACTCAATTAGTTTATTGTTCAGTGTGTCACAAAAAGAGTGAGCAAAATCATGATTAAGCTAAGCCAGGCATGGAAATGCAAGCACTAGGTATGTGGGCTCTGTGTGTGTGTGTGTGTGTGTGTGTGTGTGTGTGTGTGATGCATGAGTGTATAGTGACATGTGTATCTCCCCACTATCTCATTTTTCAAAAGGCAAAGTAGCTGGACGATTTTACCAAGAAAATGGGGTACCTACCAAGGTTTTGGAGGAGGCCCAAGCTCTCATTGAAGAAGGAGAGAAGCTGCAGGCCCAGGAAGTTGAGCAGAAGAACCGATTTCCACCTTGTAACTCTGAATGGAGCTCAGCTGGAGGAAGCAGGGTCTGGTGTTCCAAACAGAGGTAGGATTTGCAGTTATACAACTGAAGAAGGGCAAGATGGTAGTGAACCACCAAGTACAATTGTATGATGCAGAGATTGGGTTTGTGCATCATACTTAGTCGTAGTTTGAGATACATTGGTGACTCTTTAATTTGTTGGGTTCGCATGTCATGCTGAAGGTGGGTAATCTGTTGGTGGCTAGGGGGAGAGTGAGGTGCAGTGGCTGGGAGTAAGATTTTCTATTTTTCTTGCTGTTCATGGTAGGAAAACTATTTTTAAAAAATAAACTGGCAGTGCTCTTTTAGTGTTTACACTATAAGTAGTCCTCGCTTAACAGTACCTGAGATTGGAATTTGTGTCACTAAGCAACATGGTAATAAAGTGTGATGTCATGTGACCATGCCACTTAGCAGTGGCAGTTCTGGCAGTCCCGTTATTGTTGTTAAGCGAGGACTCACACGATCAGTTTCTGGCATCCCCATTGACTTTGCTTATGGGAAGCTATCAGGGAAGCTAGCAAATCGCAATCATGTGACCACAGGATGCAGCAATGGTTGGAAATCTGGGCTGGTTGCAGAGCACCCAGATCACAATCATATGACTGTGGGGATGCTGCAATGGCTGGCACTTCGAGGATCAGTCATAAGTAGCACTCATTCAGTGCTGTCACAAGTTTGAACAGTCACTGAACAAGTGGTCATTAACCGAGGACCACCTGTACAGTTCTTTCCTAACTTGTTTCAAAACGGTGGGAAATCATTTGCAGCATCAAGAGCTGGAAAATATGGTTTGAGAGTGCCTGTAGCCCTGGGGCAATAGATTATCCATCCTTGCTATACACTATGGTTTAGAGAGTTAAGTGGCTCAATTTGTGGCTTATCCTGAGTCAGGATGCCAAAGAAGATTAAATACTGCTTTAACTTGGCTTAACATCTATAGGATAATAAAATCTTTGTATTGTTAGTCTGAGTTCTGGTTATATTATACAGGTTATATTAGTAACACACAGCTAATGCAAGTTTGAGTTAAAAAACATGGTTTGGGGGATGCAGAAGCACAAGCTTAGCACTATCAGTAGCTTTTTAAAGCAGCTGCATTTTTCCCAAGAAAATGCAGTTGGCATGATCCCATGATAAAATGTAGCTGCTTTTAAGAATTGCAGAAGGTGCTGTGTTCACACACTCTAAAGCATTTTTTTTGGAACCCAAAGCACTGTTAAACATGGCATTTGTTTCTTCTTTTTATGGTTTTATAAGTGGGGGGATCACCCGAGAATGGTCTGGTGTACCCAGGAAGCTATATGAACCTGGATCCAGTCGCAGCTATTGCGTTTGCATAAAGACAGAAGAACTGTTTCCTGGGCAAATGACATCCACCCAGCTAAGCAACCAAGGAAAGTTGAACAATCCCAACCTGCAGGAATACAAAGGGTGTCATCCACTTTCTGAATGGTGTGCTTTAAAAGAATGAGTCAACTGTACCTCTCTGGAGAAACACTTCTACACAATCCAGGTATTGAAGAAAGCCCTTTTTAAGGAAACTTAACTATGTAGTTTGACACACTGTCTGAATCTAAAATTAGAGTTTGCAAAACCTGAATTTGCAATTAAAAGTCACTCTTTAAAAGTATGGATTTGCAAAACATCAGCTAAAAAATAGGAATGGAGAAAGAGCTCTAAACATTGTATGTTTAAAACAGGGTCAGGTGATGACATGCTTCTCTAAGCAGAGGGTTCTGGCAGTGGAGGAAGAGGGTCATTGGCCCTGAGGAACAGAGGTGTAAAAAGGGACAAGATGCTCCTACCACCTGCTTTGTAGGTCACTGATCCCAGCATTTGAATTTGAACCCGAGCCATAATTGATTTTCTAACTCATACAGAATGGCTGTTTTGATACAGCATGCTAGGCTAAAATATCAACGGATCTGCACAACACACGAGCTATAAATTGACCATTTTACTAAACTATGGTTTAGCATGTAGTACAAATTCAACTAATAGCTAGATTCATTCATGGTTTGTTAGACAACCCAAAGAGTGCTCTTAGTGCTATTGCTGCTGTTCAGCAAACGTGCCTGTTCAACTCCCATTTGGTGTATCGTATTGTTTCCCATGTGGCTTAATTCACCACTCCAGATTATGGTTCGTATCAACCATCAGAAGAGACTTTTATGATCTTATGTTCTCCAGAATTGTAATACCAGTGCATCTGGAGGATACCAGGTTGATGAAAGATGAAAATTCAAACGTATTTTTTTCTGGATAAAATTAATTGGGGATCACTAGTAACAGTATTCCGTTTGCAGCAATATACAGTTCTTCTGCTTGACTTCTGTAACCATGAACTTACTGATGTCCAGTTCAATTAAATTGCTTTATTACAAGAAATTACAAGTTGGCATATAAATATTAGAAAAATACATTGCTTTACAGGACTTTTGAAGGAAAGACTGCAGAATAAGAGTTTAAAAATGATTAAGACTTTGCTTGTTTCTCAAACCAAGAACAACTGAAAAAACAGGCCATATTACTTGTAGATGTTTAGTTTCCTGCTATGAAAGTGGTATTAGCTGTGTGTTGACTACAGTACCCCCACTCTAGTAGGGACAAGCCTACAGCTTTGTACTGTCAGTCTGTAAGAGGGAGACCTGTGCCTTTTTTAAAAAAAGTATCGGCAAACTCATATAATGCAGCGATACACACACCCCAACATTAAAACAAGGTAGCATGTTTGGAAGGAACTACTGTACGTTGGACAACATTATAAGCTTAGTTCTATCACCCCATGCTGTGACATCTAGGTTCAGCACCTGAGCTGCTGTATGTGAGAACCAAGGCTAGAGAAGAGTTTCCTCTTCCATTGGTGTCCTTCTGAGTTGAGGAGAAGACTTCACAACCATTCCTTCAATTATCCTTTCCCAAACACAAATTAGTCCTTTTAGTATTCTGCTCTGTAATCAGCTTAATGCCACTACAAACCCCGTGGCTAGGCAGCATCAGAGAAGGCTGAGTTAACCCTCACTGAAATGTTTGGTTTTAAATAACAAGCACAAGCTCCTAGGGTGATCATGTGTTACCTCTATTGACCAGTTCACACAACTTTTTTTTAACTTGCTAGAAAATCAGCAAAAAATCACTTTTCAGGATCTTAGTCTCACAGCTGATCAAGGGATAGGTCAGTGCTGTAAGAACACTGAAAAAGCAAGCTCATTTGACAAAAATATAATTTCCAGACTCTACCTGCATTTCACAGATTCAAATAGTATCAAGTTGGACCTACATCATATTCTAGCAAAAGCAGCCTTTTAATGGCACATGGTGACCTTCAGAAAAGGCAGAAGAGGGGAAATGGAGTTGTGAGAGTGGATTGCAGTTTACAGAGGTGTGAAATAGGGTAATGCTCAACAATGTCTAGAAAACAACAGATTTGGTGTCCGAAGCTATTAACAGATGAAAAGGCCATCTTTGTAGAAGGTATAACTTGTTCCATGCTTCCATGCTAGACTATACAGTAAGCACTTTCAGAAGTGGTTAAGACTGGAGTACAAAACCTTTGTTATAATCAATTTCACAGTGTAATGATGAAAAGGGAAGGGCTTATGTTAATTTGGTTCACAAGCTGAAGTCTTATTCCGTGCCTGTGGAAATTGACCACTGACTGAAGGTGTGCAGAAGGAAGGAAAGGACTGAGTTCAGGCACTTGTTTTTTTACAGCTGGAAAAGTTATCTGCCATTAAGGTTTATAAACATGAAGAATTGATATTTCTAGCAGATCACCTTTGAAGATGGGAAACCAAGGACACGTGAAGGCATGGAAATTAGCAATGGCCATAGTTGCTTCCAAAGTTTCAGAAAGCTGCATTTTGCACTGTTCCCCTAGGACAAATCAAGCACATTCCCTCTCCCACTTCTTCCGAAACAAAGAAAACAAGATCCTTGGAGAGTTTCCAATACCAAATCCTTCATGCCATGGCCAAGGCCAACACTGGTGAAAGTATCTCTGGCAGTTGATTTACAGCTCCATAACCCTCTTTAGAAATAATGTTACACTCCGGTCTGAATTCTCACATTCTTTCAAAACATTTATCTTTAGCCACTTTTCATCATATAATGTAGTTTGCAGATAAAAATAGATCAAGAAGGATGTACTTCAGCACTGACACCATGAGTGGTCAAGCAACCACTCACAAGACCACACTGAAGATGTCACTTAAATTGAGAAAATGCAGACAGCGTCTTCCCCATCTCCCCTCGTGTCCCATTCAACAGAAATCACATGGTTTAGGTCTCAATACAAGCCGGAGGCTGATGAAACTTGCTGTACCTCAAGACAACCAACAAAACTGCCATTTTTACCCCGGAACTGAGACATGTTCAGATCATTAGAACAAATTAACACCTCAGCCAATTTACAGTCTACCATGATACGGTATTACAGAAACAAGTGAAACTCTCATGTCCTCAAGTGTTACACTGATACATTGACTAGCAACAGCATTTTTCTTAAAACAAAAACAAAACACTAATGTGGGGCCAGTCAGTAGAATAGGCTCAGACACAAGTTTTTTTATTAAAAGTGCTTTACAATTATTTATTTTGTGCAACCCACCAAGTCCATTTCAAATTCAAACACACTGCCCAAGGAGAGTCTCCTAAAGGGGAATTCCATAGTCTAATTGATACTGAGGGAGGCCTGCTTATTTTTTTTGGCATGTTGATAATCATATACACAATTTACAACCTGGAGGTGGTTACATAATGTACATAATGCCAGTGCAGAAATACGGTGATGTGTCTACGAAGAGAAACTTTCAAAAAATATCCAAGTCACCAAGGCAAGCTGAAAAGCTAGCATTTGCTCAGCTTCCACCTACATGTGGCCAGATGACTGAAGTGCGATGAGCTACTCCCAGGTGAAAAGATGCATTTGACGGCATATTCCCACCCATCTATCCAAAACAAGCTGCCTGCACACAGCCTCACAAAATAGCTTATTTTTTTGAGGGGGACAGAGACTATACTGATTAAAGGTTAAATGACAAGAGGTTCATTCTTTTGAAGCCAATAGATACAAGCAGGAGTCCTAGATGGGGGCAGATTATTACAGATCCCCTAATCATCATTGCATGTAATTGAAGGCAGAATTCCAGTTTTTCACCCAACAGAGATCAGAAGGGCCAAGCAACAAACTGGGATCCAATTTGAAATGTAGCATTGACCTCTTCCCCCTAAGTTGCTTTCTACTCCATTCCCACAAGATTTTGCTTAACATACAAAGCTGTTATATCCTCCAAATCACAGAAATATAAAAAAGTAGCACTCTGGTTTGTGTGTGTGTGTGTGTGTACACCCACCCATGTGGTAATATTACAGGACACATTAGTATTCTAGAAAGGAGAGAGAATGCAATTTTTAGTTAGTTAATATTTTTCTCTTCCCCTTACATACACATAGACACTGAAAAGTAGTGGTTACTGAAGGTAAGAGTGACACACATCTCCATTCATGAAGCAGCAATGGAAGGCGTGCTCATCTTCTGGGGTTTGGTTCTGCTTATAAGAATGTATCAACCCACCCCAATCCTCTACATTTAAGTACATGGTGGTTTGAACCGAGGGGCCCCTTTCTGCTGTATTAAACGTATGACAAAAAGTCACTTGTTTGTATTCCAAGACATTTTAGAAGGGACCTGCTGTGGCATCTGACAACAAAATGTCCTTGGCCAAAAAAAGAGGCCCGCAGGAGCCAAGACTGTAAGCCGATCCTATCCTATCTGGGTCAAGACAGGCATCTCTATGGACTTCATGTGGAGCCGCCACAATCATCTTAACGGATGAGGGTTTTGTAAGAAGTGATTTTGGGCTGCCCAAGTTGTATGGACAGAGATGACCAGCACCAAAGGGTCACTGCCTTGCTACTGGTTGCTCTGCTGGCACTATTCTACCCCTCCCTGTTCTCCCCATCTCAGCATCTAGCTTTCTTCAGATGCTCCACAGTAGCACCACCACTGCATGCTGGGTTAGTCCCACAGCGTTAGACCTTCCTCCCAACATCACTGTAAACATAGGACTATTTGCAAAGTTTTCGATACATTACTGAAAGACAGTCAAGATTATTATTATTTCTTGAGAAAACTTGATTGAATTTGATAGCAAAGCTGGCCTCATCACTCCCTGATTTTGACACAAGAGAGCAAACAAGGGTGTGTAAGGTTCTGAAGGTCCAGGAGATCTAATCAGGCTCTTTTCAACAGGAGAAGCAGTAAAGCTTTCATTATAAGGCCACACAAAATTTTCAGCAATGCATTGAACAAAAACTTACTTGCAGACAACCTCTTTTGGGAAAAAGCAGTCACTATGCCTGGCACAGCTGCTCTTTGTAAAAAAGTGAAAGAGAACACAGCAGAATGTTTTCTCCAGGAAGGTAACGAAAGGGGCAGTTCTGCACATACTTACCCAGAAATTTAAGTGCTAACAATACATTTCTTTTCTTTTAAAAAGTGTGATAGGACTTTAGAGCAGTCAAGTCACAGTTTTATCGCCAAGGAAGGCCTTTTTT